ATACCTTTATAAAAATTAGTATGAGAGGAAATAATATTATATATTTCACAGTACATTTAAAAAGAATAAATTTTATAAAAAATTTTATTTTGTACAATAAATGTCTGCACTATTGGCTCACTAAAAAAATTCCTAGACTGAAATTAGAAAATCAAACCATCGGACAGGGGATGTGGCTCCAGCGGTAGCGCGCTCGCCTGGTATGTGTGTGGCCCGGGTTCGATCCTCAGCACCACATACATACAAAGATGTTCTGTCTGCCGAAAAACTAAAAAATAAATATTAAAAAATTCTCTCTCTCTCTCTTTCTTTAAAAAAAAAGAAAAGAAAAGAAAAGAAAATCAAACCATCTTGCAGCTAAGGCCTTAACCCTGTGGGAAAGTGCTAAAAGCTTTCTGAGGTCTTTGCTGATTTTAAAGCAGTAGAAAACTGGGACAGAAGACTGAATTTGAAAGAGTTCAATAGGATTCACTGAATGTTCTGGGCACATATCCAGGATGAAGGTTGGAGGTGGAGAGGAGAACACTGTATTGTTCACATTTGTTGATGAGAATGTCTTAAAAAGTGAAACTTCTTCCTTGAAGCAGAAGGGATTCTGATAGGATCTAAATGTTTACCAGGAATGTGATTGGCTCAGGCAAAATGGACAGCTATGTAGAAAGAGCCCTTAATCTATAATCAAGGTGGAAAGGACAGCACTTAAGGGCGATGTTTTCATGACAATTGCTAAAATTTCAGAGCAGCACACGGATTCTTTTTGTTGTTGTTGTTCTGGAGACTGAACCCAGGGCAAGCTAGCATATGTTCTACCACTGAGCTAAACTTACCCCAGGGCTCCTCTTTCTCTTTTAATTGTAGGAAAGTATTAACTTTTTACAGTACCCATAAAGAACCTGTACCTGATAATATGGAAGCTAAAATGGGTTTTGGTGATGTGGGGAGACAGAAAAAGACCAGAAAATGGAACTAGGCTGATGCCCACAAAGTAGTCTCAGATAAGACCACATCAGGGCAGCCAGCCTGTAAAAGACCAGGGTCTGGATAATGATGACTTCTGACTGCATACTGGGAGGCTGTGACCCGGGCTCTGGTCCACGTTTTCTGCTGGTTTGAAATAAATACTAATCCTCAGATGTGGAAAGCTCACCTGAAAATTCCCTTTACCAAATTTTATCATTATTTTGCTGTTATAAATGGGATGTTTTCCACCAGTATGTCATCTAAATGTTAAGGATATTTTTGAGGGTTGCTTTTAAATATTTTGAGCAATAGGCTCACAGACTTGGAGCTCAGAATTTATAAAATAAACAAAATAGAGAGGAAACCGGATGATGACAAGAGGTTTTCCTGTCACACAGAAAGGCAATAATACAGTGTTCCGCGCACCTCCCACCCCCTAGCTAGCAGGTAAGAATGAATGCATTCCCTTAAAAATCAAGAACAACACAAGAAAGTCCACTCTATTTCCATTCAACATTGTATAGGAATTTTAGCCAGTGCAGTAAGGCAAAAGACACATAAAAGTATACAGATGGGAAAGGAAATTGTAAAATGTTATGATAAAAGGACTTAGAAATTGTAAGGAATCTATAAAGACTCCTACTCTGTAAAAGTGAATGAGTTTGGCAAGGTCATTGTATAAAAGGCCAAAATACAAAAATCAATGGTAACAACAAGCCACTGGAAATTGAAGTTAAAAGCCATTTATGACAGCATCAAAAGCATGAAATCTTAGTGATAAGTCTAACGAAATATGTGCAAGACCTGTATGTGAAAATTCACAGTATAGTTGGAATAAATTAAAGAAGATCTAAATAGATGAGAAGATATACCATTGCTCATGGAATTATTAAGATATTAAATCTCAAATGACCTTAGATTGAATGTGATTCCACTGAAAATTCCAGAAACTATCAAACTGATTCTAAAAATTGGAAAGGAATGCAAAGGATCTAAACTAGACAAGATAGTTTTAAGAAGTTGGAAGATGTATCATGATAAATTTTGAAATTATAATAAACCTTTTAAAAGCTAATGTAATTTGACAGGATGGTATAGTGTAAATATAGACACACAGATCAACTGAACAGAATAGAATCTGTAAATGGCCCATTTGTTTTTGACAAATGGACAATGAAATTGAATAGAGAAAAGGTGTTTTTCAATGATGTTTCTGGAACAAATGGACATTTATATAGAAAAACAATAAAACCTATTATTTCTTACACAATACTCAAAAAATTAATCAAAGCATGTTTAAACCTTAGAAAATGGGGCTGGGGATGTGGCTCAAGCTGTAGCGAGCTCGCCTGACATTCGTGCGGCCCGGGTTCGATCCTCAGCACCACATACAAACAAAGATGTGTCCGCCGAAAAACTAAAAAATAAATATTAAAAAATTCTCTCTCTTAAAAAAAAAACCTTAGAAAATATGATTCAAACCCTATGAAACCATTAGTAGAAGGCATAAGAGAAAAACCTTGGTGATCTTGGGGTAAGATTTCTTAGAATGAAGAAAAACAGAAATTATAAAAGAAAAACTTGAGGGAATGGGATGAGCAGTAGAGCGCTCACCTAACGTGCTAGGGGCTGGGTTCAATCCTCAGCACCACATAAAAATAAATAAATAAAATAAAGGTATTGTGTCCAACCACAACTAAAAAAATATTAAAAAAAGAAAAAACTTGAAAGACTGAACTTTATCAAAATTAAGTACTGCTACTTTTCACAACACACTGTTATGAAAATAAAGGAAGCTGTAGATTGTGGGAAATTATTCTCAAAATATATATATGACAAAGGCCTTGTATGTAGAATATAGATAGAACTCCTGTTCAATAAAAAGATAATAATTTCCAAATATAAACTAAAGATTTGGAGATACTCCACTAAAGAAGATATGAAAGTGTCTAGCAAGCACACAAGAAGTTGCTTAGCATCATTTGTCATCAGAGAAGTGCAAATTTAAACCACAATGAAATACTATCTTATATCCTCTATACTGGCTTAAAAAAAAAAAATTGATGCCCTTTCCCCTGGTCAGTAGTCCAGAAAGCACGTGAAACTTAGAATTCCTGTAAAAGAGGTAAACCAGCAAGAGTTCATCAGAGTTCTGGCAGCCTTTCTTAAAAAATCCAGGAAGCTGAAGGTCCTGGAGTGGGTGGACAGAGTCCAGCTGGCCAAGCACAAACAACTTGCTCCCTGTAAGAATTGGTTCTTCACATCAGCTGTTTCCATATCAGGGCACCTGGACCTCTGGGGGTGGTGCAAGAGTTGGCTCCATGACTACATTCTAAAGGAAAGATCAGAGAAATGGCATCACGCCCAGCCACTTCAGCCAAGTCATCAAGAATGTGGCCTGGCCGTGATGGCTGCACAACAATGTGAATGTATTCAAAACTACTGGATTGTATGCTTCAAAATGGTTAAGATGGTAAGGGTCATGGAAACTGTTTTAAGAGCTTGTGCAGGTAAGCTTGCTCCAAACCTACAAAGGAAGAACAAGTTGGCCTTCACTTGGCCTCGAGAAGGATGAGTTGTGTTCTAGTCTCAGCACAGCTGTATATCTAAGATCCTCATTCCCAGGGTTAAATTTACCATTTATAATGCTGCCCCACAGACTTTTTACCAAATCTGTTAATTATAAACTCAGGTTAATTCAATTCCAAGAAAGTGGGGGGATTTAAAACACAGAAGCTGAACCTATTTAGATATTACAGAAATAGAGGTACAGTGCTGGGGCAACTGATTACATTGTCACCCGTACCTTGTTTCTGTGAATGAAATGTTTAATTTTGAAAAGTTCAACCTTGATCTATATTTTCTTTCTAGACATAATTTCTGCTTTTGGCTCAAACTCCTGTCTTGTCTCCTTACAATTTACCCTTCATTTTGCTCTGAGAATGACTCACCAAAAACCAGAGGAATGTATACCAGCAAGTAAAACATAATATGCAGTATTTAATGGACTTAATTAATTTTTAATTTCCATCTTTAATGGATCTTGGATCCTGTAAGAATTGCTTCAGGAATTAACATGAGGAAATTCATAAAGAGCTCTGTGTGTATGTGTGGGACCTAGGGCCTTGTGTATGCGCATGTTGTACCTCTGAACTGCACCCCTAGGAGAAAAAAATAAGCTTTAATACTGGTCAAGATCCTTGTTTTTTTCTAACATCATGAAACTATTACACAACTGAGCCACTGAGAATTTAGAGATAGATTTCCACTGTGTTCCACTTCTGAATACTGGGATACACAGCAGCAGGTTTTATTTTTCTAGGCTGTTATCAGGGTGATCAGAATGCAGTGGTATTACTGGGTCAACTGACTCCACTGTCACCCTCACCTTTCAGCATCACATTATCTGTGATCTCACTTTGTCAACCTTGTGGATGAGCTGGGGAAGGGGAGTAAGCACTAACTATGTAGGAAGTTTGTCTTTCCTTGGAGAATTTTCTTGTCAGCAATTCCCTGTTAGTCACATCTTTAAGAAACATGAAATTAAAAAACTTGACATTTATCTCTTCTATTTACACACTTAGAGTGAACCCATTGCTAAAAAAAACCTTTGGTGTAACAGTCCCTCCTCAGATCAGCTTATACTTATCTATAAGTATCTATATCAGTAGTATATAGATTCAAGTTCTATATACTACTTTTAGCATTAGTGATTTTGTGCACTGGCTGCTTTGTGTGATGTACAGCATGATCACTCACACAGGAAGTCTAGTGTCTCAATGCGGCAGTGTAGCAAGAAGTACAACCATTCAGAGGCAGTCTGGGTCAACTCCTAAAATGTCACTTACCTAACACTTCAGACCTGTTCCTTAATCAAAGTCCAATGACCACACGTGGAGTAAAACTTGCTTGATAAGGTGGCTGTGAAGAACTATGTGTAAAAACACAGTACAGTGCTTCATGAGACAATATCTACTAATATGGTACCCATTAGCAATGGAGCTCCAAACTTGTGCATGAAATACAAAGAAAACAAGTAGCACTGGTAACAACACATTTATTTACGTACCCTGTTGTGTAACTGGGAGGTGTTTTTTTACTTTCCAATAGTTGATTAGGTTTTAACAATTAAAATTCCAGAAGGTCAACTAGTGACTTATTGTTGCTCATAGGTAAACAGACATGGTACCACATAAAGGAATTTTAAACACTCTAACCTTTTGGTAGTTTTGAATTTGGACCACTAGACTTTGGCAAACTCAGCAGATTACCAATAATGCTTCTAAACCTCATGGTTTTCTTCAGACACAACAGGAAAAATTTAGATTTAATTTCTGGACTTCAGAAATTTAACCAAGATTCTTAGGAAGGTGCAAAAGGCCAACTAATTACTTCAGCCTGTCATATTTATCAATATAACTGTATTGCTATTCAAAATGAGATTATGGCAGGCAACAATCAACTAATGACTAGTCTCATTTTGTAGATTGAGTATTTTCTGAAAATAACTTACTGAAGATGGCAGGCTGAAAGTTTACTTTTAAGTAGTTCTAACTTTACCTTTTGTTTGCTAGTTAAAGGAATTCAGATAGATGCCAAGTCAAAGAATTGGACAGCACATCAAATTGGGTTTCCTATTACAATTAGCTTTCTTTGCTAGTGACTGCATCAGGATGCCTTTCATTCCTGCCTTCAAATTTTACAGCCGGATTTTTAGCGGTTTGATAAATGTAACAAATGGGTACTCACTGCTAGAAGAGAATATAAGAATGTGCTGATCACCGGTATGAGATTTACATTACATTAAATTAAAATTATATACTGTTGGAAATAGACAAAAGAGGGAGTTCCCAGATCCTAGAAAATATTATGGCTAAGGAAATAGAGAACCCAAAAGAAGAATCCACCTCCAAGAAACTAATTCAGTATAGTAAAATAGAATTAAGTGCCCTGTCTTAGGAAAAAGTTTATTAATAATAAGGAACAACTGGGATATCATACATCATTTCTTTGGAGATTAAAGTGCAGGCTATGAAATGGCATATAAAATAATGCATAAAATAGTGCAATCCTAAGGTGCCATTATTTTTATGACGCATAGCCTATTTTTATATGTCCACTTTCTCTGAAAAACTCAGCTGTAGTGACACCTTTTAGCTTATTTATTTAGGCATTACTTATACTCTGTTTTACCCACTTCTGGGGCTACATAGAATATTTTAACATTTGAACATGTAGAATAATAGCGCATACATCTTGAAACTACTAAATAGAGATTAAGGCAAGCCTCTGTAAAGTTCAGTACTCCAAAAAACACATTTTACAAAAAAAGTTGCTTCCAAAACCAGTGGCTTTAGACCTGATGGCACCCCAATAGTCTTTAAAAACAGTTGGATTACTCTGAATACATTTGCATTTGCCCCATTATTTCCAGGCTCTGAACATCAAAAGAGAATTCTGAAAAACAGCAGTTTCTATAACCTCAGAATGTGTGAAAACCAAGTAAACCGTGTCCACACGAAAGCTAAGCTGAGGATCTGGCTGGGGTGAGGGTTGGGGCCAGTCCTCTTCATTTCCTATCCATGTCTTTTCACATTTTTATCCATGTATGTAGTGTTGTACCATAGTTTATGTGTGGGAATGACCCATTAAAACAGGGAAGTCTCTTCCGCCAAGGAAGATGATGGCAACACTTCATGGAATGCTGTACTATTAAAACATACAGCATTTAAATTACTGGCATAAAATGCAGAGCAAGAAGGTTCTGAGACTAATTTATAAAATTCCTGTAACATGTCAAGTTTAGATGTATTTATAGAACCCTAAATGCTACTATGCTATCCAAAAGCAAGTTTAACAGTTACCCAATAACTATTCTAATAAATGGTGAAGACAATACCATAACCTGTTTTAGCTAGTCTACAACATAAAACAACTGTAGTGCTTTATTCTAATTATGAAACACTCATGCATTAACAAGTGCAACTCAATCTTATGGACAGGGATTATAAGTATACATTGTAGAAATTTGAATTTGGAAACAAAAAATTTACCTCCTAACAGTGTGAATGCTCATTCTGAAAGCCATATACTCATGTTAACTAGTGGAAGACTACAGATATATTTAGGCTATTTTGATGTAGTTTAAAAAGAAATTCAGGAAACTTTAGTAATTCAATAACTATTAGAGAAATAATCTGAGGACTGGGGGTGTAGCTTAGTGGTTACAGTATTTGCCTAACATGCACAAGGCCCTGCGTTCCATTCCCAGTACTGCCAAAACCAAAAAAACCAAAAAGCTGAGGCTATATCCCTTTGATGCATAAGGATCATAGTTTGTAAACCAGTACTCTGATACTTAAAAAAGGTTTCTTATTACCAGAAAAAGCATAATAGTAAAGGCCATGAGTATTCCAGTAGGCCTCCTCCAAAGTTATGATAATATGGCTAAATCCTATGATTGCAAAATGAGACCTGCTGAGAAAATGAGTTCCAGACAGGGACTTTTATGGATGACCTTGGCTGACAAATGTTTTTAGGAAACTGTTTATTTTAAAATTACCTTCCCAACAAACCATAAACACTTGGATGTTACTTTATGTTTTTTCATTGAAAACATACTACATTGTAAATGGAGTTTCAAAGGTAGACATATAATTGATCAAAATCTAAGGACAATATTATGAAAGGACAATACTAAAAAAAGATAGGAAAAAGTTAACCTAAAGAATGCAAAACCATGTCATGTTGGACGGATCAAAAAGGTGATAACCTTGTGCTTTTATTCAACTAAGGTACTTACCAAAACCTTAGATTGTATACAGGTGTCAAACTCCCACCTGGAAAGGGATAGTTTTCTATATTACATCTAAATTTATTTTAAATAACTGAAGCCCAAGGCAACAGTTGTTTAAAAACTTGACAAATAACTACATAATTTAGTACATTAAAATAAAACTTGGACAGTGATCGTTGAATGTCTCAAAAATATACAACTGGGCAAAAGAACCACTGTACACAATTTGGAGATTGTTAAAGTGACCACTCAAAGGTTGAACAGTGCAAGACATGCTTTTCCAGTTACAAGCTAAAAACAGAAGTGCAAAAAAAAAAAAAAATTAAAGCTTTTGTTAGATAAGGAAGGCTTGAAATTAATATTAAAAAGCTTCCCTTGGGTCATCTCCCAGAAATGAAATGATCGAATTGCTTTTTTATGGTACAATTTTCTTCAATAAACTTTCCTTCAGTGGCAAACTGCATCCACAATTAGGTCCCCTATTCAGTCACCAATATGATCCATGAGCAGATAGCAACGAGTTAGGATCTTTGCTAGCTCCCGGAGGTCTGATCTTGACAGAAACAGCCTTGGAATTTGGACTTTGCCTTAACCAGTGTACCTGAACCCTACAGAGAATAGATAAAGCAATGGGCTTTAATAGTCTTGTTCCTATAAAACTGGAGGACAAATGGACTAACAATTCTCTCTCTAGAGGCAAACTGTTGTGGTGGAAGATGTTAAGTGCTTAGATCAATGAAGACACTGCTCTAAAAAGTGGAGAAGGAAGTATAGAGGTTCAAGATCGATACCAGTGCAAGAGCTTTTTAAGTGAGTTGACTAGGCAATGCATGCATCCATCCATGCAAATGTAGGACATGGCCCCCAAAAGAACTGAAAACATGTATATAATAACAACTGGATACGTCCCTTGCCAGTAGTTTATAAAAATATATAGTCAATACTGTAGAGGCTCCTTCTACAGTCAATACTATGGAAATCCTTTCAGTTACCCATCACTTCAATACCAAAAAGCATTAACTACTTTTCAGACATTCCAGACAAAGGTCACTTATAACAAAAAGTCAACGTTTTTTGTTTTTGTTTTTGTTTTTTTTTAAACAACATAGTGTCCATTTAAAAAGTAGGTTTTTTTCTTTCAAGTGAACAGGACATTTTCTGTATTAAACTTAACTCTTGTCAAGACTGGATTTTGTTTAAGATCCTTATGTCATGTGCATATATGCAGAAACAAACAAACTTCCTTATTATCTGCACAGAAAAAAGTTAACTCCCCAAAACATGATAGAACGGGTCTGGTTAGTACAAATCTATTGCAAAGTAAAAAGATTCTGTGCATCAGTTCCACCAGAAGTGGGAAAAGAATGTCCCAACCATAGAGTTCAAGTTTGTGTTCTGAAAGCCTAGAAGCCCAAGGGACAGACACCATGTTGCTCCCAGTATCCTGATATGCATAACTGCTTAAGCTACCAAGCTGTGTATTCCTCTGGAGCTAGAACCATATTTCAATTCACTTTCTATTTCGAAGACGTTTAGATTTTCTAAGAGAGTCTATAGTTTCTGCTGCCTTTCTTCGTTTCCGAGGAGACTCCTCATTCTGCCCAGACCCAGAGGAGTTTCCTACTGCACTTTCCATTACTTCTCGTAGTTTGCGTTCCAGCTCTGCCAAACGTGCATTCTGTTCACCTATGATTTGGGTTTGCTCTAGCAGTTTCTGGTCTTGGTCTTGAAGCTGCTTCTGCTGTTCTTGCACTTTGGTGCGAAGCTCAGAAATTTCACGCCTGAGAACAGTCACGCCAGCACCATTGGTTTTAACCTGCTGCTGGAGTTTGGTAACCTCTTGTCTTGAAGGGTTTTGCTTGGAGAAGAGCTGCATTGTTGTTAGGGCTGCAGAGGGTCCTGGCACTGTGGAGAAATCATTTGAAAGGGTCAACTACTTAATACATATTTCTGTATCAGTAACAAACTTATTTTAGAATGGAATATCCTCCTATCTCTTCTGAGAATTTATTCTTTCCAATCTATTTGTTCTACAGATTAATCAGACACATTGTTTTAACTATGAATGAATTTGAATTCTCATTCTCCTGCATACACTTAGATTTAAAATACTGCTGGGGCTGGAGTTGTAGCTCAGTGGTAGAGCTCTTGTCTAGCTAGCACATGTGAGACACTGGTTTCAATCCTCAGCAACACAAAAAGATAAATAAAATAAATATCCACAACTAAACAAATAAAATTATATAAATAAAATACTACTCAATATTTTTAGGACCAAGTAAGAAAATGCAAGTATTAAAACTAGAAAATGGTTTCTAATTTTACATAAACAAACACAAACTTTCAAGTGAGAAGTTTAGACCTATCATGTTCTTAAGATCACCAGCACTTAAATAAATGCAAAGGCTTCAACTTAGCCACAAAGCAGGAACTATATCAAAGAGTAGGTTATATCACACATAACATGGTGTAGGAAGGCTTTGGAACTACTCCCTTTTAGGAGTAAATAAATTATAACATAGGCATAGAATTCACTATTTTAAGCTAAATACCTAATTTTTAAAAACCTTACCCTGAAGATCTTTTTCAAAAAGAACTAGATGGATCTATCCCTACCTATATCCATTGAACTATTTTTCTCCTTGCACATCTAAATAATCAATATTTTCCTTGGCTGGAGTACAGTCTTCCTTCCCTCTGCTTATCCTTGCTTTTACTCTTTTTAAAAAATTAATTATTTTAGTTGTAGATGGACACAATACTTTTTATTTTATTTATTTTATGTGGTGCTGAGGATCGAACCTAGTGCCTCACATGTGGTAGGCAAGATGTCTTCCACTGAGCTACAACTACAACCCCTTGCTTTTACATCAAGACTCAAGACAATTCTTACCTTTCCTGACATCTCAGTGAGACCAGCCAATACTGATTTTAAAAAATCTTTTTTTTTTTTTACATTGTTGACGAATCTTATTTTATTCATATGCAGTGCTGAGAATCGAATCTAAGGCCTCTCACATGCTAGGCAAGTACTCTATCTCTGAGCCACAACCCAGCCCCAATAGTGATTTTATCTTCCTAAAGATTCTGTCTCTGCTTCATTTGGTATATAAGTAGACACTGTCTTAAATATTTCTCTTGCTTATGATGATTTCACTTTGAGTCTAGACACGTCTTACCTTTTAAAACAGTAAGGTTCTTAAGAGAAGACACCATGTATTACACTTCTTTTTATTCTTCATAGGATACAGTATAGTGCTGTGCATATAATAGGTACTTAATAAATAACACATACATTAATGCTGAGATACTGTAGGCTTTTTTATTAAATTAGAGATCCACTCAGGTATCCCACTGAGTACTACAGGGAGCTAACTAATCTGAACAAAACAAAAAGGTTTAATAAATGTTTTCCCCTAATTTAAAGTATTTACAAGAGTTGAGGAATTTAAACAATTCAGCCTTTCAGTAGATAAGGGCAAAATAGCTACCATAGAAGTGACTGAGTTCAAAACAGTCTTATGTTTCTGAAAGTAGAAGCCAGATGTTTTGATGGCTGAAATAGTTCATTGAATTTGATTCTTCCCTTAAAGAAATTTTTGGGTTTTATTTGGTATGCTAGATTCTGTTCTCAAAAAAAAAAAAATTTTTTTTTTTGGGGGGTGGTAGGGTACTAGAGACTGAACCCAAGGGAACTCTGCCACTAAGCTATATCCCTAACCCTCTTTAATTTTAAAACAGGGTATCACTAAGTTGCTGAGGCTGGCCTTGAATTTGCAATCTTCCTGCTTCAGCTTCCTGAGTAGCAATGCTACTTCAACAAAATTTACTGTAAATCAGTAGTTGTGGATATGTGCAAAGATTTAGCCATAAGTACATTCTATACAGTATAATTTAATTGAAAAACTTGAAACAGAAAGTTGAGCTCAATGGTAGACAGAGTATGTACATAGCATGTGTGAGACCCTTGTGTGTGAGATCCTGGGTTCAATCCCAGCACCAAAAAAGAAGAGAAAATCATAAACTACAAATATACCTTAAAAGTAGATCAGTTATACAAGTTACATATGATCTGTTATTCAATATATCAGTAAAAATTATGTTGTGGATAAATATTTGCTTGCAGAAAAATTCAAAATATATGGTTATGGGGGAAAAAGACAAGTTATAAAACTATGTATGAATGTTATTATAAACTGAAGATATTATAAATAAGAAATACCTGGAGGAGAGCCCATAAGTCTTCCAGACACATCTGATCCTGGCAATTTCCTTTTTAGAATTGGAACAATTTTCTCATCAAAGTATTCCATTGCCATGGAGGAAATATCCCTTAACTCTTGTAGTACTTCATGAGCTCGCTGAGGGGCTCTGGTAGAATTGACATATCTCAACACACGATAAATCTCATCAATCACCTAAAAAAAACAAATTCTTATTAGTATTTCAGATTTTTTCTTTTTTGAAGAAAAGTGCTAAATAAGCAGATGTAATTGCATGTTTTGCAATTTCTAATAAAGCCCTAAAGGGTGACTTAGCTAATATACAAGTTGTGGATAATATTACCATCTGCTATACATGGATTTTGGTCTTGTATAATACTTTATACTTAGATTTATTAAGGATCTTTTATGTTTACCAGGTACTGTGCTGGGGGGGCTAAGAACCAGGACAAATAAAATATAGCTCTGGGTGTGATGGTGCATGCCTGTAATCCAAGGAGGCCTTGGAGTTAAAAGCCAGCTGCAGCAAAAGCGAGGCACTGAACAACTCGTGAGACCCTGTCTCTAAAATACAAAATAGGGCTGTGAACGTGGCTCAGTGATTGAGTGCCTGAATTCAATGTCTGGCACTTCCCCTGCCCACCAAAATATAGCTCCTGCCCTGAAGGAAATCACAGATTTCTGGGGACACACACACACACACACACACACACACACACACACACACACACACACTTTCTACAAAGAAGGCTATATAAATTGCTAAAGAAACCAGAGGACTAAACCAAGAAATTAAATCCTTTATGGGAGTAGATACAGGATGGGACATTACCCAAACCCATATTATATTAATTCTCCAAACCCATTCTATTCCTCAAATCCCAGGAACTCAGTTCCTTTTCTCTTTTGCACTTCCCCTATGAAGTTTTGTTTCTCTACAAGCTACCATGGATTGGAATGAGGTTTCCTCAGAACACATTTTCTTGCCATCACCAAAGTATAGCAAAAGATCCTTTTTTGTTTTAGTGGTAAATGCAATGGAGAAAGACAAGGCACAGCTAATACATGAAGAAGAAATGATATTCTTACACCCCTGTGAGGGTATTCTTAATACTTTCCATAGCTTTAGCATAGAATTGAATATAATAATTCACATCTCTGAAGACCCCAGTCCAGCTAATGTCTATTCAAAAGGATTTTTATCTCATGAGAATTGTGGACTAATAAACCAAAATTATTCTGTCACCAAAATCCCAAACAACCTGGAATCCTAGACATTCCTGTTATTGCATTTATCCAGTCAGTTTCCAACTCTGGATTCAATTTTGTAATCTGTCTTCTTCTCTCTACTCAGGCTGCTACGGACTATTAGAAAAACATTATCTATCAGAATAGTACCTGGAAACATTCGTAGTTCTTTATGTTTTCTAGACTTTCAATGTAATGATCCTTGTTAGTCTAGAATGACATGTGCCTAATAAATTTAGGAAAAACTAAACTGTTTGAATTTGTCCTTATTATAAACTCAAGGAAGACTTCACAGAAGAGGGTTTGTGGGTTTGGAGAAATGAACAAGAACTGGCTTGGGCTGTGGTGGTTTGTACATAGGCAGATGTAATGGGAGATAAGACATTCTGGTTTTGAATTACATGGGACATGCAGGTGTCAGGAGAGAAACTGCAGATGATGGTGAGACTTCAGTAGCCAACAGAATAAGAGGGAGTGAGAGTAACAAGGGAGAACATGCAGAACGAGACAGTCAAAGGCAAAGTCTAAGGCACTAGTGGTTAGTGATGTTTTCACTTCTGGCATTTCTACTCTGTAAGAAACTCATTTTAGAAGAGTCTGTCTGTCTATCTATCTATCTATCTATCTATCTATCTATCTATCTATCTATCTATCTGCAGTGCTGAGAATCGAACCCAGTGTCTCACACATGCCAGGCAAGTGCACTACTGCTCAGCCCCAGCCCTAGCCCCAGCCCTAGCACCAGCCTAGAGCAGTGTATTTTTTTAAAAGGTTATTCATTGACTAATTTTATGTTTTGCTAGTGCCAGGATAAAGTTTTACATGTGGGTTATAAGTAAGAAAAGCACTACAATACTCCACTATTTTATAATGTTCGGCTAGTATATTTGCATCTATAGCCAAAAATTGGTCATTAACTCTATGAACTAAATAAAACCCCAAATTTTCTTTTTTTTAAAAAAAATATTTATTTATTTTCTAAGAGAGAGTGAGAGAGGAGAGAGAGAGAGAGAGAATTTTTAACATTCATTTTTTAGTTCTCGGCAGACACAACATCTTTGTTGGTATGTGGTGCTGAGGATCGAACCCGGGCCACATGCACGCCAGGCGAGTGCTCTACCGCTTGAGCTACATCCCCAGCCCCACCCCAAATTTTCTTGCCTGAGGGCTTCTGCACATTCTGATCCCTTTTTCTGTAATATTTTTCTTGTATATCTCCTCCACATCAAATTCCTTACTCATTCTTGAGGCCTCAATAACATTTCACTTTCTGAGAGTTGTCTTCTCTGAAACTTCCTCCAGTATAAATCATGTTAACATTGTCATCAAATCTTTTATTTTCCCTTCATAGTATACAAGTACATCTTTCTGTTAATTTGTCTTCCTTATAATACAGTAAGCTCTGACAGAAGAGATCACAACTAGCTAGTTTTACTGTCAGATCTCTAGAGCCTACCAGAGTCTGGCATATGGCAGATATTTGATAAGTGTTTCTTAAATCAGGGATAATGATGGTCAAATAGTTTAACTGCTTAATATCAACATACCTAAGCAAAACTGTTTAGGGAAAAGTTACAAAGTTAAATTCAATACAAGAATACAGTTTTGTTTTTTGTGGTTCTGGGGGATTGAACCCAGAGCCTTATGCATGTGAGGCAAGCACTCTACCAACTCAGCTATATCCCCAATCCCAAGAATACAGATTTTAGAAGTCAAGATTCTGTTTTGAATAATAAAAGCCAAAGTTAACAGAATTTCTAAAACAAACAAACAAACAAAAACCTTAAAATTGTACTTATATGTTTATCATAGCTTTATTAATAAATCTCTAGAAATTATGTTTGTACAAAAATACAGGTAGAAGAATATTAACAGTATGTTTGAACTACTAGGAATGATTGTTGTAAAGGTTCAGGCATGAAAAGACACAGGTCCTATCAGTGGAACATAATGACATCATGAAAGACCCAACAGCAAAGCATAAGTCAGACAGACTGGAATACACTCACTGTACAAGCGAAGTACTACATGAAAATAAAGAAAGTAGAGATAAGGTCTGTTTCAGAGAACTGGGTAGGTCTAATGAGAACATGATAATAAGGAGCATGCACAACTTCAACAGATAAGGGAAGGGAGAACAGACAAAGGGGCAGGTAGATGATGTGGATGGACAGGTGACGAGAAGAAATCAATATTTTGTAGTACTATTGTCCACCAGGCATTTATTCTAGGGTGTATTTTAATCAATCTTTTCCATAATCATTATTCTTCAGAAAATATCATGTTAAAATATCCTACAGGGATGCTGATACTAAAGCACATCTATAAAAGAAATTATGAAATATTCTTTAGTATTTAGTCTTCTAAAGATAGTATGAATGCAAAGTATCTCTTTGCATTTGCTTAAATATCTTATTAGGAAAGGTAATATTTTCAAATCTTACTATATATAGATTTAAATCAAGTGGGATAATTCACATTTTCAATAAAATTTAAAATAGTTGCTTATAATGTGGGAAGCAAAGGACAAGATGAAGGACACCAAACCAAAAAAAAAACCCTGATGAACTAAAACAACACTATGATAGAACTACACACCTTCCTTTCAGATTTATTGGTGGCTACAATGGCTTTTAAAGGCATATACAAGACTCACCACATCTGAAAAATCGTTCATTTTCTGAGTAGGTATGGTCATTTTCTATAAATTACGTTGAGTCCAGTGGAAAGACCACCTAATAGTTTTTTCTGTGCCTTTCAAATAATATGCCACACACTGGACCCTACATAGGCTTCAGGTAAAAGTAGTAAGTAATGAAAAATATTTTTAAGTTTTAAAAAAGTATGGTACAAGCCAAATGTGTTCAACTACTGTTGCATTTCTAATACACAAAGTTCGCCAATCTCGTTTCTGTTTACATTGGCATAGTAATAAATGACATATTAAGTTGTTAGGCTTTTTAGGTGAGAGAACATCTCTTTTTTAATCTGTTTAGCAAATAAAGCTTATTTGAATATTGACTGTATGATCTCATTTTTTCCTCACTTTCTTTGTCTTTTTATTTTACTTGAGATTTTCTTAACTTCTCCTTCTACCTATTTTATTTAACTTAATTTTTTTTCATATTAAAATTTTTAAGTGCATTTAAAACTTTTTGAATATTTCTTATACGGCATGCATTTGAATAGAGTTTCAAGTATTATAGCCTCTGAAATTTTCTACCCCTTACATGGTTTCCTCAAATGTTTTTTCTTCCTGTTTTTTGTTTTATGTTTTTTTCAGGTGGGAGGTGTGTGCTGGGGATTGAACTCAGGGGCACTTGACCGCTGAGCTACATCCCAGGCCTGTTTTGTATTTTATTTAGAGACAGGGTTTCACTGAGTTGCTGAGGCTGGCTTTAAATGTGTGATCCTCCTGCCTCAGCCTCCCAAGCTGCTGGGATTACAGAAGCGCCTGTTTTGATATATATCAGTCTGGTGATTCTCTGCACTGTTTGTATTTAAGGCTGCTGCACAGAAAAAGCTGATCAGGAAGATGGGGGTGGAGGAGGGATCTAACAATTCAATAGGAAAACAGACCAATTTTCTTTTTTTTCATTTTAAAAGCTTATAGTTATGTATATTTTATGACATTCACGGTAAAACAAAGAAAAGCTCCCAACTAATCTTGATTTTTACGAGCATATTCACATTAAAATCAATTATATAGCTCAGTGGTAGAGTGCTTGCCTCACATGCATGAGGGTATGGGTTTGATTCTCAGTACCACATAAAAATAAATAAATAAAATAAAGATTGTCCATCTACAACTAAAAAATTTTTAAAAAAAATATAAAATAAATGAAGCCAGGAAACATTATAAAAACTTAAACTGAAAGACATCCCTCAAAATATCTAACCTACGCTGTTCAAAAAAGTGAAAATTAAGAGATACAAAAACAGACTAGGAAACTGTTTCAGATTCAAGATTAGAATCCATATATTGTCCTAAGATTAGATTCTGGAATGAGGAAAAAAACCTGCCAGGACAAGTATTATTGAGATGTAATGAAATCTGCTGGCATGGTGGTACATGCCTGTAACCCTGTTGATTTGAGAGGTTGAGACAAGAGGATTATTAGTCAGAAGCTAGCCTCAGCAACTTAGTGAGACTCTTGTCTCAAAGTAAAAAAATAAAAAGGGCTAGGGATGTAGCTCAGTGTTAAAGTGCCCTTGGGTTAAATCCCCAGTAAGCCCATCCCCCCACAAAAGTAATGAAATTTTAATATAAATTTGTTGTTATATCAGTGTTAAATTTTTCAATTTTTCTGTGTATTGTGGTTAAGTGAGTGTCTTAGGAAATGTACTGAAATATTTAAGAAACATAAAAATTTAAGGATCATAATGTTTCCAACTTATTTTCAAATTATTCAGGGGGAAAAAGACAAATATAGATAAAATGTAAAAGCAAACAGGAAAAAAGGTGTGTAACTTTTGGCTCTGTATAACAAAATACAACAACACTAGTTTTCTTTCCCAAAACATTAAAAACAAACCAGTCACATTAATATATACAGTTTACATCTGTTTAGGGACAGCTTTAAGACATACACTCACATTGGGGAAACCCTAACTTTGGACAACACTGTATTTCCATGAGAACACAAGATTTACCAGGGCTACTAATAATGATCAAGAGCAGGGACTATCATGTCGTATTTCATTACTGTATGTTCCAGAATGGTTAGCTGCCCACCACTCACATACAGCACAAATTTTTAGTATGTGGGAACTCCTGCTGTGGACATGAGATTAGTATAAAAAGTACAACCTCCATGTGTCAGATTTATATAATCTAAGATTTGAGAAAGTCAACCATTTATAACAACAGTTCTGAGAGAAGATGAATGGGATGTCAGTGTGGTCCAAATATTTTTCTATTTGGCCTGTGCCAGTTTTTACAAATTAAATTTTACTAGAACTATATGTTGACCATGGTTATTTCTCCAAGTCCATTGGTTATAATAGAGACCACATGGTCCATAAAGCCAAAAATATTTACCAGAAATGTTTGTTGGTCCTTGCCTTAGATAATAGCAGCAAACTCTCAAAATTGTGGTACAATTCTGGCAATCTAATTTAAACTACATTATTACTGCCTAGATTCACGTGTGAAATAAAATGTTGATAGTAGATCCAAATTTTAACAAAATGGATACACAATCTTATTCACAAAATGAGCTCTTGCAAAGTATAAAAGCTCCTGAACTATTATAATCCAGGAGCACATTCAGAGGGATAACAGGAATAAATCACCAGAGAATCAAAATTATATAGGGCAGAAAGAAAATTATTTGTATAATATTTGCTGTAATATATATCTGGAATGTCCCCCAAATGCTAATCTGTTGAAGGCTTGGTCCTGAGTTGGGCGTTGTGGGGAAGAGGTGGAACCTTTAAGTGGTGTGACTTTGTGAGAAGTTGGGTCATTTATTAAAAAAAACAAAACAAAACAAAAACAGCAACACAAACAATAAAAATTCTGAGTATACATACTGTTGTTTTAGGAAAAATGTAAGCTAAAAGAAGGTACTTTTAGGAACAAAAATAATTCAAGCTGAATTAAGTATGATGGTACACATATCTGAATAAACACAAAAAGTGTATTATTTTTTGATAGGAGCTTATAGGAGAAAAATTAGGATAAATTCTCATTAAGAAATGGGTACTAGTAAGGAAAAATGGAAGATAAAAGTAAAAAAAAAACAATTGAGAAATCAAAAGATAGAAGTATAGCTTTTGTCAAATCAACTTCTCTAGGCCTTAGTTTTCTTATCAATGAAATAGGGATAGTAGGATCTATCTATTGCATCTTGGAAACTACAGATGTCCTCTGTGGCTGCAACTTAATTTTGTTCTTTTATTTGGGAATTAGAATTTAAAATGAGAAGCCAACAGGTATTCCCCCCCCCCGCCCCGCCCCCAAAAAACCCAACAGGACTCAAATGGACTTGAGCTCTTTTGCTTATATAGCAAAAATCCCCATTACTGACTGGCATCTTCTTCTGTAAAAGTCAAATAGTAAATATTTTAATTTCTGCATACCCATGAACTTGGCCACAAATTACTCTACTCTGTTAGTTTAACAGCTACTTGAACTGTTTGAAGTTCTGAAAACTGTAAATGTCTTCTTAAATGTTCATACTCTAAAAATGAGACATGTAATAAAATTATGAAGCTGGAGGGGACAACCTATACTGATTCAAAGGTAACACTATGAGTTAAGGATTTAATAAATCAGATTCAGATAAAATCTGGCATAAGAATCAGAATCTATGCCAAGCACAGTGGCACATGCCTATAATCCCAGCAACTTGGGAGGCTAAAGCAGGAGGATTACAAATTCTAGGCCAGCTTCAGCAATTTAGCAAGACCCCGTTTTAAAATAAAACATATAAAGGGCTGGGGGTGAAAAGCACTCTTGGATTCAATCTCTAGAACAACAACAACAACAACAAAAAATCAGAATCTAAAGCTTCTAGTTAGTTATCCTCTTATCCTCTTATAGTAACTATAAAAGTATTTGTAGGTAATATAAGAAAAGTGATATATACCAAGGAATATTTCAATAAAATTATAAGCAGGGGCCGGGGGGGTTGTCTAGCATGTGTGAGGTACTGGGTTCGATCCTCAGCACTATCTAAGAATAAATAAATAAAATAGAGGTATTGTGTCCCTCTACTAAAACAAAAACAAGAACAGAAAAACACCAAAACCCAAACCCTATAAGAAGATGTGTTCATTGTTTAAAAGAAATTATAAGTTGTAGGACTGTCCCTCAGAATAAATGTCATAGAAAATTAAAAAAAGATAGTACATATATGGGTACTATCTATGGAAATAACAAAAATAAAATATCACAACCATTTTAAGATCTTTTCCAAGCATCAACCAGGTGTCAAAATGACTTAAGTACTTCTCTACTGCTTCTATATCTCAATTGGATTTATAGTTCATTAAGGAGCATGTGGTATGTTGGGATTTTCATTAATTTATTAAAGGTAAATATACCAAAATATACTTATTTCTATACTAAAGAGGACCATTACTTAGCTCTGATTGTGTTATTATGTGGCAATTATGTATTCTGGTCAAAGTTTATAAGATTGTCATTATAAAACATTTCTCCAACAAAACAAAACAAACTTGTCTTTCTCTATCTCCCCCAAATTACAAAACCTTGAAAGCAGGATAACTCATCTCTTATGCACTGCAGTATCTTAGGCATTTAATGAAAGTAAAAATTCAGTATTTTTTCTTGAGTATGAATTCTTTTTTCCTTTTGGTACCAGTAATTGAACCCACGGACACTTAACCATTGAGTTGGTCCTTTTTTAAAAATTTTATTATTTTGAGACAGTATCTCACTAAATTGTCAGGGCCTTGCTAAGTTGCTGAGACTGGCTTTGAACTTGCAGTCCTCCTGCCTCAGCCTCTAGAGTCACTGAGATTACAGGCATGTGTCACTGTGCCAAGCTTGCATAATCACACTTAACAAGCTTTTTACAGACGATCAGAGCTTCTACTGTGAATTTCATAATTGGAATTTTAAATATAAACATCACACATACATATCTTTTTTGATAACTATACAACAAAGACATTCATAGAAACTTATTCAGAAGAACAATTCTAACATCTCAAAAATCACTTATAATAATTTTAGTAAGTTTCTAATAATTTAAAATATATAATAATTTATAATAATAAGTTTATAATAATTTAAAACTTACACAAGACAATCAAGCTATTTTGGACAAGCAGTTGTATTTTACCTTTCCTGGGATGAAGCAGCAGAGATTGGAATCTACATACTTCATAAAAGTCATATTTAATAGTGACAGCCTTGTTTCCACAGCAGCAAGGATGTCTGCATGACGAGCTAAAGAATGGTTTCTCCTTTCTGACTCTCTCCTAAAATAATGATACAAAAATAAATGATAATTAAAGCAGAACTGTGAACTAAAATGTTAAACAATTAAAATGCCTTAATAAAATGGTGTAATACTACACATTATCAACTTAGAAATCTACATTTGGATCATAATTTAATTATAATGCACAGGAATCCTTCCAGAGGACTAGCACTTACTGACAAAATGTTTTGGGGAAAAAATAACTTCATATTAAAAAAGAATTAGGACTGGGAATACAGTTCCGTGATAGAGCAGTTGCCTAGAATGCAAGAAGCCCTGAGTTAAAGCCATAGCACTACAAAAAATAATTTTTTTTTTTTTTACTTAATTTCAATCTCTGACTTGTTTTCTTGGCTATTATCACTCTAATGGCTATGAAAATCAGAGAAATTAGGTAAATGAAAGAAATATATTGGGAACCTTAGGTAAGAGACTACATATTTTTGCTCATAAAATTTACTTCCTGAGCTGGGGACAGCTTATCAGTAGAGCACTTGTCTGGCATGTGCAAGGTTCCTGTTTCAATCCTACGTACCAAAAATTAAAAACGAAATTTACTTCCTTCAAACTTTTCAACAATTTTGTTCACAAGGAATTAACACAAATAAACTTCACTATTTTAAAGTGTACAATTTAGTGTTTAATATATTCAGCGTTGTACAATTATCACCACCTAATTACAGAACATTTTAATCATAGATGAAGGACACAGATGAAGAACATGTAACCATTAACACTCTTCATTCTGCCAACTACTAATCTATTTTCTATTTCTATACATTTGTTTATTCTGAACATGTTTGTAATAAAAGGAATCACAGTATGTGTTTTTGGGTCTGGTTTCTTTCATTAACATAGTTCTCATGGTTTATTCATATTCTAGCATGTACCTGTTTATTGCTGAACATTCTATCATATATCATCACTGTATTTAGTTATTAGCTAATGTATAATTGGATTGTTTCTACTTTTTGGTTATTATAAATAATGCTGCCAATAACATTTATACACAAGTTTTTGATACTTTAGCCACGCTGGGGACTGAGGCAGGGCCTCACGTATGTTAGATAAGTACTTTACTGCTAAGTTACATCCCCTACTCCCACCCATAAGATTTTGTGTGAACACTTTTAAGTTTCTCTTTACGAGTAAAATTGCTGGGTCATATGGTAAGTCTATTTAACTTTTTAAAAACAGCCAAACTGTTTTTAAAAGTGGCTGTACTGTCTTATATTTCAATGGTAATAAAAGAAGGCTCCAATATGTCCACATTTCACTCAACATTTTTGGTTTCTTATTTCACTACCCAAGAAGATGGAAAGTGTTATAATAATTTTTTTTTTTTTTTTTTTTTTGGTGGTGCTGGGGATTGAACCCAGGGCCTTGTGCGTGCAAGGCAAACACTCAACCAACTGAGATATGTCCCCAGCCCCTTGTAATGGTTTTATTCACATTTCCCTTATAACAATTGATACTGAACATCTTCCATCTTTCATATGCTTACCAGATATGAGTATATCTTTTCTGGAGAAAGAGATTATTTGTCCACTTTGAATTTGGTTGTTTTTTGAGTTGTCAAAGTTTCTCACATAATTTAAATACAAGTCACTTATCACATATGATTCACACAATTTTCTCTATGGGTTTTTTTTTTTTTTCACTTTCTTGATGGTATCCTTTAAGCCTCAAAACTTTGTAAAATTTTGACGTTAACTTGCCTACTTTTGATTTACATGAAGATACCTGGTTTTCCTAACAGCAGTATTGAAAACACTGTTCTTTCCCCCATTAAGTTGTATTTGCATACTTGTTGAAAATCAACTGAGTCAATATAGAAGGGTTTATTTTCTGGACTCTTGATTCTATTTCATTGATACATATCTATCCTTATACCTGTACCATACTGTTTTGATCACTGCTGCTGGTTTAGAAATCAGGAAATGTTAGTCCTCCAATATTTTTATTCGTAAAGATGATTTCGGTTATTCTGAATCTCTTTTATTTCCAAAGGAATTTTAGGATCAGTCTCTTGTGTGCTACAAATAAAGACAGCTGGGATTTTGATAGGGAATGCACTGCATGTATAGATCAATTTGGGAAATACTGACCAGTTTTCCAATCCAAGAACTAAAAATATCCTTCTATTGCTTTAAGTCTTTTTTACTTTTTTTCAACAATGCCTTGTAGTTTTTGGCATACAACTCTCAAGTTAAGCAAGTACTCTATTTCTGGGTTACCTCCTTAGCCTTTTATTTTGAAACATGATCTCATTAAATTGTCCAGGTTGGCCTTGAACTTGTGATCCTCTTGCCTCTGATTCCTAAGTAACTGGGATTACAGGCATGTGCCACAATGCCTTTTGCAGGTTTCTTTTATGATATTTACTACTAAGTATTTTATTCGTATTAATGCTACTATAAATTGAATTGTCTTTTTCACTTCATTTTTGATGGTTCATTATACAGAAATAACAATTGATTTTTGCATATTAATCTTATACCCACATCCTTGCTGAACTTGTTAATTACCTCTAATTATACAACAGTGTAATCCTTGTATATGAGAACTTGTCATCTTTGCATAGTTGGATGACTTTTATTTCATTTTCTTGTTTATTTCCCTGACTATAAAATCTAATAAAATACTGAACAAAAATGGTGAGAGTGGAGAGTGACAGTAAAAATCACTTATGATTCTGAAAGGCAGCTGGGCTCACCACTATATAACCAAAGCTGCCCACTTAATGTACCTGTGAGTTCTTTGCTAGGAAAAAGTTGAAAACTATTTAACACTAAAAGTCTAGCCAGGTACAGTGATGCATGCTTATAATCCGAGGATTGCAAGTTCAAGGCCAGTCCAAGCAGCACATCAAGATCCTGTCTCTAAATAAATAAACAAATAAAGACTATCCTTACAAAAATAAAAACAAACAAAAGCCTCTGAAACAAGAAACAAAAATACCCCCAACTATAAATTAATTCCATTGTTTGCCATATCATACCTTGGAAGTTGTGCTTTAACTTGTTTCTGACATAGATTATGGTACCTTTCCACTTTCAGAAATCCCTGATTCAACATTCTCTGGCAGACCAAGTCCATTCTTTTACAAACCTATGAGGACAGGGGAGGCAGAATAAAAACAAAATTAATAACTAAATTATTAATAGACAATTAACTGATGACCAAAAGTTCTCTCTACTTGTTCACCAATTGGTGTCTGAATCTCTTATTAGTGGCAGTGGGTAAATCCCTTAATCTATGTAATTTCTATGGCATCTCATTACTAATATTACATTATGGGCAAATGAATATCATTTAAGTGTCAACTGAATGTTCTCAGAGACTAGTTATTAAGATCCGTAAAACAATGTATTTGAAGATTTTTAATAGCATGGAACAAGAAAATTTCCGTTAGCCAAAAATGTACATTCAAACTTCAGTCAAACCTCTCACAAAATTTATATCAATTATAAGCAAATGAGAATTTTTATTTCTTCTAGTAATTTAACTATAGAGAATAAGGGGTCGAAGCCTTTAGACTAATTTCTGCTATATCCTCCAAAATATCTTCAAGTGTAGGAGAAAGAACTATTTCGAACTCTGAAGGAACATGGTGCTTTTTTAAGTAAAAGCAAAAGATCAGAAGTCAAAACAGCTCATCTTAAACCCAATCTGTATGTATTTTGTGCATGTCAGCTATCGTTTGAGCACCTGAGACAGCCATCAATACACTGTGAACAGTATTTTTAGTTATAGGGGTATCAGTAGAATAATACATGCTAAATCATTTGGTTAACGCTAATTAAAAAACGTTTCCCTGCATATTTGTTATATTTCTGAGATATCCTAGCATCTTTTGTATCTTTTTAAAAAAATATTTATTCCTTAATTGGACACAATATCTTTATTTTATTTATTTATTTTTATGTGGTGCTGAGGATTGAGCCCAGGGCCTCGCACATGCCAGGAAAGCGCTCAGCCACTGAGCCATAACCCCAGCTCCTATCTTTTGTATCTTAATTAAACCTAATATATAATATCTGTTTGGTTTTTGATTGCAGAGAATTCTGCAGCAATTCAGTCATCAACCTGAATGTTGATCACTGGATAGGGATGGGTACTTAAGACACTGAAATAAATTTCTGACATGGCCAGGTCAATTACACACAATTTATCTTATGCTTCTATTTTTCTCATAGTATCTAAGCACAAATGCTTGAAAAATATTTGTTGAAATGAAATGCTGATGAAGCAATCTACTTGTTTCCTCCCGAAAATATAGGAAGAAAAATCATTCTGGCAAACTGGGATGAAGTTCCTGAAGGCCTTACTATTCTAATATTAATACTAGATTGTTCCTATAACACAGCATGCCATGTGAAAAGTATTAAGGAAAACAGTTCTTTTCACCTCATAATAAATTAAAACATAATAAAAAGTACCCAGAGTAATTTCTAATGAACGTTATTTTAAAATGTGGTAGAATCTATTTCTAATTAAATTAAACCAGTTATCAATATTTGTTCAGTGTCACTGAAAAAAAATCTAGCAAACAAGTTAACATTTAACAGTTTTTAATGAAAAATAACTCTTACTTCCAAAACAAAATATAGTGACATTATATTACATTTTTGAAAAGTTGAGAACTTAGAAACCTTTTAAAAAACATAAGAACACATTAGCACACGTTTTATTTACTGTCAGTATATAGACATCATTCCATTTCACACAACTATTGGAAAACTGCCACTCTATAGCTGTGAAATAATGAGTCAAAAACACAAATATCTTAATATTGTTTAACAAAAATATTTTAGATTTTATGGACCCCTAGAAAGATCCTAGGAATCGCTGTTGGTTCCCTGGACCATACTTTGACAATCAGTATCCTAATCCTGAATAACCACATTGTCACAGACACTAGTACCATGTTTTATGTGAGAAGAAAATACTTTGTTACTAGGGAATGAATCCAATGGCCACATCCCCATCCCTTTTAAAAATTTATTTTGAGACAGAGTCTCATTTAAGTTGCTTAGGTTGGCTTTAAACTTGCATTCCTCCTGCTTTAGTCTCCTGAGCTGCTGGGATCACAGGCATGTGCCACTGTGCCCAGTAGAAAATAAACTTTTGCTATATTATCGGAGAAAGGAAATGGCAGTGTGTTTTTCGGTGTAAAATATGGGATACCTAACCTCTCTTCTTTCATAGTAGAAAATCAATAGAAGATCTGCCAAAGAACTTGAAAGTGGTACCTACGGAAAGTAAAAGTTGGGGACTGCAAAAACTAATTTTTGTTGTCAAAATTACTTGATGCTTTACATCATAATATGGAAAGAGTTATTAAAAAGAAAGACCTGTTATGTACCCTCTAACATAACCTTGTAGTCTCCACAGACGTTATAATTACATTCACAATGCAGTTGACGTCAGAGATGAAATAGTTTCTCAGCAGTGAAAACAACAGAGAAAAACAACAAAGGTCAATTACTATTAAAATTTTTTTCAAGGTATTGCTGAAATTATTTTGAATTTTGCTGCACTGAATCTAGCTAGTGCTAGGGCTTACCTGTCTTTCACTAATCATCTTAAAATTCAACTGGATATTAGTATTGACTAGTTTGGACAAAAATGAGAATAGAATTTTCTGTGTTTTGAGCAGGGAGATCAAGATAATAAGAAATCACTTGAAAAAAGAAAAGATCACTCATTTTTGAAAGATCTCATACTAGGATAGTTAGTTATTTTCTGTAAGCCCTGGAATATTAGTACTAAAGATATGGTTCTGGAAATTTCTCTGGAGATAGCTGAAGTCAATGTAGATAAACTCCAAGAGAAGAAGTCAAAGATAAATAAAGTAAATGCCAGGGCTGGGATTGTGGCTCAGTGGTAGAGCGCGCCCGCCTAGCATGTGTGAGGCCCTGGGTTCGATCCTCAGCACCACATAAAAATAAATAAAATAAAGATAGTGTGTCCAAGTACAACTAAAATATAATTATAATAATTGTATTTAAAAAAGTAAATGCCTACAAATGAAACTTCAACTGGCATTTGTAGTTTGAAGCTGGTTGAAGAAAAAAAGAAAAGAGTTCACAAAGAAATTAAAATATCACTACAAAAGACAAAGTAAATATATGTGAAACATTAGTCAACACTGTCCTCCTTTCATGTTCTGTAAACACTGATTGTCAGCACAAGAACTGGAAAGAACGTGCATACATCTTTTGTTTAGAATTCGAAAAGAAACAAAGTGACCACAGGAAAACAGAAATACACAGAATTTCCCCAAGGCCAGGAATTTAATGATCACTGTTGGAAGTGTATACTAACTTGCAAGTAAAAGTATCTCATTTAGGGATAGGGCTATGTCTCAATCCAGAGAGTGCAAAAGCCTGAGGCCCTAGGTTCAATCCCTAGCAACACACACACACACAACAAACAAACAAACAAAAAAAACCCCAAACAACAACAAAAAATTGTCTCATTTAAAGTATAGCTCCAGCTGGGTACAGGGGTGCATGCCTGTAATCCCCCTGGGTCAGAAGGCTGAGGCAGGAGGATCACCAATTCAAAACCAGCCTCAGCAACTGTAAAGTGCTAAGCAACTCAGTGAGACCCTGTCTCAAAATACAAAATAGGGCTGGGGATGTGGCTCAGTGGTCGAGTGTCCCTGAGTTCAATCCCTAGTATCCCCTGCCCCCCCCAAAAAACGTATAGCTCTAAATTTAAGGTTGTTGTTATGTTAATAATTTTCTAAGGCTAAAAGAAAGAAATATTGTGTATTAAATTTTAAAAATCCTAGCAATACGACAGTAAAATAAGACCCCAGAAGACAATGCAGATGATGACCAAGTAGAAAAATCATCAGGGCTCATAGACACTGAAAGGAGAATGGAGCTTAGCAGAGGCTGGGAGGGATGGGGAGAGGGTGATCAATGGGTACTAAGTTACAATTAAATAGGACTAAGAAGTTCTGCTATGCTATTGCCTAGAATAGTAACTACAGATAAGGATAAAGTAGCTTATATTTTAAAAAAGATAAATAAAAGGATTTTAAATGCAGTATTCACTATAAAGAAATGATAAAGGTTTGAAGAGATAGATGTTTACCAGGATGAGAACATTAAATAATGTGTAATATGTGGAAACATCAAATGGCACCTCAAAAATCTGTATGGATTGCTGGGCACGGTGGCTCAGGCCTGTAATTCCAGTGGCTCAGGAGGCTAAGGCAGAAGGATCACAAGTTCAAAACCAGCCTCAGCAAAAGCAAGACACTAGTCAAGTCAGTGAGACCTTCTCTAAATAAAATACAAAACAGGGCTGGGATGTGGCTTAGTGGTGGAGTGCCCCTGAGTTCAAGCCTTAGTACCAAACAAATAAATAAATCTATATGATACTTACGTATCATTTAAAAAAAAATGGTTGACCATTAAAAAAAATGTAAATGATGTTATAGGGAACAGCCTTCACTGTTACCCTTGTCTTTTTATTTAAAAAGCTATAATCAATTTACACAGTATGATAGCTGCAAAACCATAGGAATAGCAAAGATAACAGATGTATATATGTTAATTAACAAGATGTTTATAGTCTTGAGATGGCAAACTCAATGCAATATAGGCATTCACATCAATAATATGCTTTTAAAATTAATATACTTTATGAAAATAAAAAGCTTGAGATGTCACTACAAACATTTTATTTTTTTTTTTTTTTAGTACCAGGTATTGAACCCAGGGTGCTTC